GTACTATCAGAGAGCAGATTCTGTCGTCAAAAATCTGAGCCTAAGGCCGGCACCGAACCTGAGACTGTCTAATTTAGAGCCTGGCACACTAACCACTCGGCCATTTGACCACACCCTGAGGCTGATTTGAAAACTAGACATCGGGGTACCAATAATATAGCAAGCCTAGTGCACCTGGTACCTGCTACCTGGGCTAATAGCCATCAGCTAGCTGATTGGCTTGGATTATTTTGCTATTTTACCTGCCTGCCTGGTTCCATCACCCCCCCCCAGTCCAGTTTTGGCAAATCCTGAAATTCGATTCGGGATCATGCCGAATCCGGCCGGGTTGAGAACTCAAAGAATTTTACACTAACCAATAGTGCAGACGGCTGCCAGACGGTGTTTTCAGTAGGCCGGAGTACTGCTTGAAATTGGGTTCAAAGGTCAGGCCGGGTAGTTTCACAATACGATCAGCATCCTTGCCTGAGGTGGCGTCCACAACTTCTACAGCTGCAGCTGCAGCTAGCAAAACAACGAGCAGAGCATCGATTTCGAGGAGTCTAAGCCTGCTGGCCAAGAGGTTTGTTTGGTGATTACGGGATGAACGATGCATCGAGGATAGGGCCACGTCGGCTCTGGTCTCTCGACGTCGAGCTGGAGCTGGAGCTGGAGTTGGAGCTGGAGCTGGAGCTTCTCGTGATCAACAAATTCGGTGTCAAAGTTTCGGGTAATGACTGTCAAGATATAGTATTCAGCTGGCTGGATGAGACGAAACAACTAGCTTTGGGCACTGCTTCAGCACTCAAATGGTGCCTTCTAAATTGTTGTGATTCATTAGGCGATCGAAATCAAATTATCAGCTGATAAGAGTTAAGAGTGATAAGAGTTCTTATCAGTAGATTATGCTTGTTAGATGTCAACTGCAATTAGCTATTTGTTTTGTGATCAGCATTGAATTTTGATCATTGTATTGTCGATTGATAATTTTATTTGAAAGATAGCTGGTGACTGGAAAGAAATTTGATATGTAATGGGACTGGGGGTAAGGAGATAGGGGCATATATCCCCCTCAAGACCCCTCAAGACCCCCTAAACCCCTTTAAATGCAGGCAATCCTTTGGAGAGCGCTTTGATGTGATAACATTTAAAAAATTTAGCTAGCTATATATCTTAATTAAGCAAAATTTTTCGACAGTATATATATTTAACTGGTAGGGGAGATTCTCCTCTATCGGATGGTACCAAAAAAATTTAGTGGTACCAAGCAAAATTGAGAATACAGGTCACCTGAAATGGTACCTGTGATATTCCTATAGTAATGTATGAGTGATCAACATGGAGATCAACATGAGATCGTTCAGCTGCATGAGGTACCCTCAGAAATTTAGCTATATCTTTTTAATTAAGCAAAATTTTTCGACAATATATATAATATTCTGAAAGCTTAGAATTTTTTCTATCCAATGGTACCAAAATATTGGTATGTTATTGGGCAAATTTGAGGGCAACGGTCGTTTGAAGATGGTACCCGTGATATTCCTATAGTAATGTATAATGATCGACATTAAATTGATATATCTTCAGAAATCCATCGATATCTTCTCAACCAAACAAAATCCTTCAACAATATATATAATATTCTGAAAGCTCAGAATCTCTTCTATCCAATGATACCAAAATATTGATATGTTAGTGGGCAAATTTGAGGATATGGGTAGTTTGAAGATGCTACCCGTGATATTCCCATTATACGGAAGCAGTTTCAAAAACCAACTATATTTTTAAAACTAGGCGGCTCCCCCTCCCTCTTAACTGCAGTATGCACGTTTTCGAGGTATAATTTCAGGTTAATAAGATTATTTCAGGTTAATGAGATTTCAGGTTGATCAGAAACCAAATTCAGTGTTGCAATTAATAATGGTTCATTATAAGATTGACTCATTATCATCTTAAAATTATTTACGATCGATTTTAATTGCTATCAAGAGAGAAATTTGCAGGTCACAATACAAAACTCAAACATCTTTTAAATGTTCTCATTAAATTCATCGCTTTTTGGGGATTATTTTTTGTTAAAGTCACAAACGTTGCCCAATATTGCTTGATGATATGAAGCTGCTGTATGTTGTATAATTTAAATGTTCTATTTTAATCACCTTATCAGTAGCAGATCAATCATCTGATCACTTGGTGAGAATCTTATTAGATAAACACACTCGCAAACGGCATATTATTTGGGGTTTATGCAGAGCATTCAATTGATTATCGTTAAATTTTAAATTTTAGTGCTTGTTTGCAGATTATTTTAAGGTTTGACACGGTTTTGGAGAGGTTTAACTGAGCATATGGCTATAGAAGAGGCGAGGAGAGTTAAGAGGAGACCTGAAATAGCGATTGGAAGACCTGAAATAGCGATTGAAGACCTGAAATAGCGATTGGAAAACCTGAAATAGGGATTGAAGACCTGGAATGGCGATTTTTTAAGGGTAAGCTCGGATTTAAGCTTACATTGAGGCTTAGGTTAAGGCTTAGGCTGATAATCAGACTCAGGTCAGAGTACAGGCTTAGGCTTTAGACTTGGGGCTACCAGGGTAAAGGAGGTTCAGGCTGAGGCTCAGGTTAAAGTTTACCTTGAAGCTCATGGTCGGGCTCAGGTTCAGGGTGCTGGGTATTGGTATTAATTAATTAGTTATTAATTAGTAATTATTAATTAGTAAAGCATTAGCTTTAATGTTAGTATTTGCTTCTGTTCATATTGTTATCAGTAATTAAAATTATCGGTATTACATACGTAAGTATTAAGTGATCAAAGAGCTGTTAGTAATCGATAATCGATATGTTGATCAGTTAATCAGTGATCAATTGGACGTTTTATTATTTGGATTAGTGATGTAATAGGGCAGTGATAACAGTATTTGATCATTTGATTAGACTGATAATCAGCAGATCAGTAAACAATTTTTGCAGTATTACATCGATAGACCGATAATAGAGCTTGAATAGAAAACGTTTCTATTTTTGTGTCTTCCTAAAGGGAAAGTGTAAAGCTAGCTGTAAAATTGGTACCAGGAAACCTGAAATTGTGATGTGGAAGACCTG